AGTGTGTTTGTTTTGTAAGATTGTTGTAAAGAAATTTTTGTATGTGAGTTATAGGAAATTGTGTAAGTAATATAAAAATAATGAATGTATATAGTGTATTAATTTTTTTGAAAATACGTATTGAAAGAACATATCCTTTATTTTATTATGTAATAATAATAATATTAAATTAATTCTAATGTTCTACTAATCGATTTTTTTCATTCTCCTGATGTATGTATTTTACGAATTTATTTACTTTCAAATATAATATTATAATACTTTTCATTATTATTTTATATGTATTGTTTAAAACTATCTATTGTTTTAATTTTATTTTTTACTAATCAAATATTTTTCATTGTTATTAAGTATTGTTTTTTCCAATTGATTTGATGTTTATTATTGTATTAGTATTATATTATATTTTTAAATATTGTAGATTATGTTTAAATTTGTAATCTTTAGATTTGAAAGATTATTGGAAGAAACCATACAGAAAATTATAGTAAGTTTTAATATATATATATAATTTATTTTTATTTTATTACTTTTATTCTTATTATGTATGTATTTTTAAATTATATATTGTGTTATTTTTAATTTCTACTAATCATATTTTTTATTCATTCTTATTTTTAATATGTATTTTTTAATTGATTTGATTTTGAATATTATATTAAAATATTTATCCCCTAATTTAGTAGATTATATTTAAATTTCGAGCATTTTTATTTAAAAGAATATTAGAGAAATTCAAGCACAAAATTAGGGTAAATTTTAGTAATTTATAAAAATTCTATTTTTATTTCAGTATTTTCATTCTTATTTTGTATGCATTTTTTATTTGTTTTTTGTTATTTTATTTTTTACTAATCAATTATTATTTATTCTTATTCTATATGTATTTTTTTAATTAATTTGGTTTCGAAAGTTACTATTCTAATACGTTTTTTTTTTCAAAAATTGAAATTATATTCAAATTTCGAGTTATTTATTTTTAGTCTAATATGAATTGTTAATAAATATTTTTAATCTAACTTATATTTGAATTTCACTTGAAATAAAAATTTTGTATATTATGATTTTCATTACTTAATATTATGCAATATTTGCTTTTACTTTTGTTAGTGTATTATTTTATTATTATTTTATATATATATATATATTGTTTAACCTTTCTTTTTCAAACCGGCTATTAAAGGAAAAATTAGAGATTTTTTTTCATCGATAGATATGAATTTGTTTTAAACTTTATTGTAATGTTTCATTTAATAGGATTGTAAATAAATATTTTAAATCTAACTTAAGTTTGAATTTAAAATGGTATATAAATTTTATTTGATTTATGATTCACTTACTTAAGATTATTTATTTTTTATTTTTTTATTTTTTGTTATGCAGGCTAACAACAATATATAAAACAAATATTAATAATTTCTCTTATTTTTCATTGATAGGTACAATTCTTTTTTAATTAATTTTGATTTTTAATTTAAGAGTGATTATAAATACTTATTTTTCATCTCTATTATATTTTATTTTAAATTGAAATATGTATTTATGAAATTTTGATTCGCTTATTTAATATCTTTTATTTGGTTTAATTTTCATATTTTTTATTTATAATTTATTTTTATATAAATTAATTTAGGCTATCTTCATAAAAAGTTTTATCATCAAAATAAAATTTATTATTTAAAATATAAAATTAATAAATATCACAATTTCTATAGTTACTTGTGCATAGCACTGAAAATAGACTAGTATTTATATATATTCCACCATATTTATAATATAAATATATATTATATTATAACTCATCATATCATATATTGTACTATGTGTAAATATATATATTGATTTATATGTATAACATATGTTTATCCGGTCAATCGGCACCATGTTGTATGTATTTCCAATTGGACTAAGCCTAAGGGTGTGTTTGTTTTGTGATAATGTTGGGAAAAAAAAAATGATGTGAAATATAGAAAAATATATAGAAAATATAAAAATAATAAACGTGTTTAACGTATTAATTTTTTGAAGAAACGCGTGCGAAATGAAAAAAATAAAAAGAACAAACCTAAAGTGTTTTCCACGACATTAGTCCATATTATAAATTTATGAAAATAACAGAATTTTTTTTAAACTAATAAATATGGGAATAATTAGAATTATGAAATTTTAAAAATTAAATGCCGTTTAATAGTTGGTAAATAATTATTTAATATCAGTTTTAATAATTACAAAACTACCAAATTATTATACACTAAACTAATTAATACTAATCTTTCTGGTCTATAAATTTCCTTTAAACTGCAATTACTATGTTACTTAATTCTCCATACCTAATTCAGCATTAACTATTGCACCAAACATAATTAAATCAATTATAGATATTCATCTTTAAACAAAAGGGAAAAAATCTTTTTGGTTCCGATATAACCAAAATTCATCAATTTTGGTCTTAATATAAAAATCTTATCAATTTTGGTCTCAATATAACCAGAACTCATCGTTTTTTTCCAATATAATCAAAGCTTATCTTTTTTGGTCTCAATATAATCAAACCTTATCTTTTTTTTTTTTTTTTTTGTCTCACACCTTCAACAAACTGACGGAAAATGCTTATGTGAAAAGAAATCAAATTTTATATTTATATTTGAATAAATTGCCTAATCTTGCGGCATTTTACGTCGGTCTGTTGACGGTGGGACAAAAAAAAAGATAAGGTTTGATTATATTGAGACAAAAAATATGAGTTTTGGTTATATTGGAACTAAAATTGATAAAAAAAAAAATTATATTGAGACAAAAAATGATGAGTTTTTTTGGTTATATTGGGACAAAAAAATTGATGATTTTTTATTATATTGGAATAAAAAATGATAAGATTTTTATATTTGAACCAAAATTGATTAATTTTGATTATATTTGGAACAAAAATGATTTTTTCCCTAAACAAAATTAACTGAATGAAACCACAAAAATTATACTCTAATCAAATTAAATTTCTTTAATAATCAAATAAATGAAATAGAGGGATGTATTCACCATTATTTTCTATTAACACAATTTCAATAAATTAATTTTTTAATCTATTATTGAAATGAAACCATGGAAATATAAGGAAAATAAATATACTCAAAATACAATTTAAATAAAAATTTAAATTAATATTTTATTTCAATTTAAAATCAAACACCAATTTATTTGTCTCATACAAAATTACTAATTAGTTAAAAATTATTTTTTTTAATCTATTATTAAAATGAAACGATTGAAACGGAAGAAAATAAATATACATCCAAAAAACAATTTAATTCAAATTTCAAATTAATATCCAATTACAATGCAAAACCAAACTCCAATTTCTTAGTCTCACAAAATTACTCATTAATTAAAAATTATTTTTTTTAATTATTATTAAAATGAAACTATTGAAACGGAAAGAAAATAAATATACATCCAAAAAAAATTTTAATTCAAAATTCAAATTAATATCTATTTCATTCAAAATTAAATACCAATTTTTTTTATGTTTCACACAAAATTAGTTATTAATTTAAAATTATTTTTTTAATCTATTATTAAAATGCAACGAATGGAAAGAAAGTAAATATACAGACAAAAATTTAAATGAAAATTTAAATTAATATTCTATTTCAATTCAAAACCAAACACCTTGTTTGTTTCTATTGTCTCCTAATTTCATATTTCTATTATTTGGACTTTGCATTTTCTAAAAAAAAAAATAGTAAAAGTATTTTTTTACTAAAAAAAAATAGAGACAAAAAAATAATAATAATAATAAAAAAAATTAAATGACGAAGAGAGTATTATTTTAGCACTAAACTAAAACAAAAAAATTCCAAAACTAATTAAAAGAAAAAAATCTACACACAAAATTACTCGCTAATAAAAAAAATCAACTTTTTATTTTTTTAATCTGTTAGTATTAAAAAATTCATGTGAATAGATCAAAATGGAAAAAAAACATAAGTACTTTATAATTTAAAAGAATAATTACTAAAATTGAAAAATATAATTAGTAAATAATTAAGAAGTTTATCCGTTAAAATTATTATAAATTAAGATTAAAATAATTAAATAGTTTAATTAAGATTAAAAAAATTATAAAATACTCCCTCCGTCCTTTAACAATCTATCCATTTTTTTCATTTTGATCCGTCCCATAACAAATTATCAATTTCCTTTTTTATTAATTTTACTGTTTACCTGGTTAGTACAAATATCCTTCTAATTTACAATATATTATACAAATGTCATTACTTTTATATCATATAATACGCTAGTTTAATCTTTTTTACCTTTATTTATATTAAATTTTAATATAATATTAATATTTCTAAAACTCCGTGCAAAAAACGGATATATAGATACGGGACGGAGGGAGTATAAAATTTAAAATGTGATTAAAGTAAATAATCATATTTCAAAACAAAAAAAAAGACAAATTATATAGAACAAAAGAAAATAAAAAATAGGTACACGTGGAGCGGACAAAAATAGAAAATAGGTACAAATTAAAATAAATGGATATATAAATACGAGATTGGAGGAGTATAAAATTTAAAATTTAATTAAAGTATATAATCATATTTCAAAAAAAAATGAAAAATTATATGAAACGGACGAAAATAAAAAATAGGTACAAATTATGCTAAATTGACAAAAAAAAAAGAATAGCTACAAATTATATGGGACGGAGAGAGTATTAAAATATTCCCTCCGTCCCAATATAATAGTATTGTTTACCATTTTTATCTGTTCCAAAATAATAGTCTGTAAATAATATTCTACTCCTACTTTTTTATTTATATACATAATCAAAGAAAAATTTTATTTATATTTTTTACCAATTATCAATATAATATAATATAATATTAATATTTTTTAAATCCAATTAAAATTATAGTTATGGATAGATTGAGGCAGTAGCAAATTTTAAAAGAAGCAATAGAAAGTTAATAAATGCCCCCGACATTAATGTCGTTGGCATTCCCATCCCATCCCAATCCCAATCCCCAAATCCCAATCCCCAATCTCTCCCACCCCACTGTTTCTTCTCAGAAAATTTTCCTTTCACAGATACATACCCACCCGTGTGCTCTGCTCCTCTCCTCTTTCTCATCTTTCCATTAATTACTTAAATGCCCTTCCCCTTCCTCCAATCTTCCTCCTCCTATCCCATGGACTCCTATTTCTCAGCGATTCTCCTCTCAATCATCGTCTTCCTAATCGCGGCGGCGAGGCGGCGGAGGCGCGTGCCTCCGGGGAGCCTCGGCCTGCCATTCGTCGGAGAGACGCTGCAGCTAATGGCGGCCTACAAATCGGAAAATCCGGAGCCGTTCATCGACGACAGAGTCGCCCGATACGGCGCCGTTTTCACGACCCACGTGTTCGGCGAGCGGACGGTTTTCTCCACCGATCCGGAGACCAACCGGTTCGTTCTGCACAACACCGGCCACCTCTTCGAGTCGGACTACCCCGGTTCGATCTCGAATCTCCTCGGCCGCCACTCCCTGCTGCTCATGCGCGGCGCCCTCCACAGCCGGATGCATTCCCTCACCATGAGCTTCGGCAGCTCGCCGGTCATCCGCGGTCACCTCCTGCTCGACATCGACCGCCTCGTCCGCCTCAACATGGACGCCTGGACCGGCCGGGTTTTGCTCATGGAGGAGGCGAAGAAGGTACCGCCCCGCTGCACAAAAATTAAAACCGCCCTAATTTTCAATTTCAATTTCAATTTTTAATTTTTAGAGTGTGTTTCTTTGGGTGATTGGATTGGATTTATACTGTTCATTCATTTTTTTTTTTCAAAAACATCATATCAAACACTTATTTTTCATTTGTTATATTATCCTAAAAATTAATTTCACATATAATTTTGTTTCTATTTTTTATTTTCATAATTTGTCGATTTTTTAATTTTATTTTACTAATACACTTCTTAGTTATTTACGTATTATTTTTTACTTAAATTTTTGTATCTACAACAAAATACGTTACTATTTACTTAAATTTTCAATTTTGATTTTTACTCCCTCCCCCAAAATAATTTATTTCTATATTTTATTTTTAACAGTGATACATAATTTATCATTTTTTATTATTATTATTTTTACTATGTGTTTTTTAAGAATTTTGGTAGGCTTCTACTATTCACATTGATTTTTTTTCTCAAAAAATCAAATATTTATTTTTCATCTTTTATATTATACTAAAAATTATCATATCTTACACTATTTCAATTGAAACTTTTATTAATCAAATCTTGTATCTAAATTACCGCACTCATATTATTAATATGGGAATGAGAAAATAATTTTTAAATTTTTTTATAAATTAAAATACTAATAAATCAACAAATCCGAGGCGGCTCACATTAGCTCCAGCGCTGCGTATTAGTATAATATGTCCACGCGGCGCATGTTAGTGAGTGGCAAGCAATTGAGAGGTTCATGTGCGTGCGTGTGATGATTTCATGTTTTCCTTTTTCCCCTCCCAAAATTTTGTTTGATTAATTAAATGGAATGGAATTGTGTGAGTGCAGATAACGTTTATGCTTACGGTGAAGCAGCTGATGAGCTTCGATCCTTGCGAATGGACAGAGAATTTGATGAAGGAGTACATGCTCCTCATCGAAGGCTTCTTCACCATACCTTCCTCGATATTCTCCACCACCTACAGAAGAGCAATCCAGGCACATATAAAAATACATACACATTTTCTGTATCTATATATATATATATATATGTATATGTAGTAATTGAAATTGGGGAAATTCAGGCGAGAGGGAAAGTGGCGGAGGCGCTGAGTCTGGTGGTGAGAGAGCGGAGGAGGAACGACGGCGAGAGGAAGAAGAAGGACATGCTAGCGGCGCTGCTCGACGAGGAGCGGGCGCGCGGCGGCCGCGCCTTCTCCGACGAGGAGATCGTCGACTTCATGCTCGCTCTCCTTGTCGCCGGTTACGAGACCACCTCCACCACCATGACCTTCGCCGTTAAATACCTGACGGAGACGCCCGCCGCCTTGGCGCAACTCAAGGTTCGTTCGTTACTTCTCGCCGTTAATTTACCTTTTTCTTTTTTCTTTTTTTGCTTTTTAATATGAGTATATCTAATTTATTTAATTTTAATACTCTCTATATCCACCAAAAATAAATTCTATCTCACTGTCCCCACGTATATAGTGTATATATATACATACGAGTATATATATACACAATGTGTGTATGGGACAGTGAGACATGATTTTGTGTAAGATAAACGGTTCCATTAGGTCCCGATTGGTTAGTGACAAGGTATTTTAAATAGCGTAAATTAGTAAGTTATTAATAATAGTAAATTTTATTTTATTTTTTACATGAGAAATGTTAGTTGTTATTTTAAATATTTTTAGCGTTATATTTAATATAAATATTATTTTGTAAATAATATCAAATTATATAATATCAAATTTATCTATTTATTTCTAATTAATTTAAAATTAATTTTATAAAAAAATAAAAAAAATTAAAGTATAAATAATATAAAATTTATTTATCGAAAAGAGATAAAAATAAAATTTTTTTCATAAATCTCATTGATAAGAAGTTTAGAAATTTAATCAAATTAATTTATATTTTTTTAATTATATTTAAAATAAATAAATTTACTAATTAACAGTCAAATTAAATTGTAAGATTCTTTAACATTTCGCTATTTAGAGGTCCGTACAATATATATACTTATTTAATAAATATGAATTTTATTAATAAAATTTTATACATCGGCCCAATTCAAAATATATTTTTACTATTTTTATTTATTTCATCACTTTAAAATATATATATTTTTTAAATAGTAATTATATACTAATATCAAAATATTTTTAACATTTATTTAATTTTTTAAAATATTATTTATTCCGTTCCACTTTACTTGTCCACTATTTTTATTTTATGTGTTCTACTTTATTTGTCTTTTTTTTTAGAAAAAAAAAATGATTACAAAATTCATTATATTTTAAATTTTATAATTAATAATTTTATAATATTAATTAAATTAATTATTTTTTATTTTAATTTATAATTATTTATATTTATGATTATTATTTTTACTAGATATTTTTTAATTATTTTTTAATTATATTTTATTTAAATTTTAGTATTTAGGATAAATTGTATATAAAATGTGGGATAGAAGAAGTAATAATCTCTATGTTTCATATATATCTATTTGTTATATTTGGATGTAAGAGGAATAAAAGTAAAAATACTAAAATGTCTTCAATGTAAAATTTTTTCGTAGTGGTATATTTATAATATAGTGTAACTTTAAAGAGTAATTTTAATACTAGATAAGTTAGAGTTACTAAAAAAATAAATGAATATTTTATTTTCGGACGGACCAAAAAAAAAATTGATATATAGTTAAGAAACGATGACATATTATACATGGATGTAGTATAAATAAAGATGCTATAATATTTATAGTCTTATTAGTATAGTATATTAATTACTTATTTACTCATTCAAATTTATTCTTATATTTTCTTTTAATTTTTTCTCTATATTTATTTATTTATTAATTTTGACAAAGAAAATAAATAAATATTTAACTATTATATTTAACACTTACTTATAATAAATATTATTATTTTTATTATATTATTTTTCTTTATTTATTTTATTTCTCACTAAATTTTTTAAAATACACTCAATGATTTTTTTACATTTATTAATTAATCTGTTTTTTTTTTTTTTTTTATTTTCGTATTGTATTCAAATGAACTAATTTTAATAAATAAAGAGAGTATATGATATTGGTTAGATAGAAATAATAATATTTGTATAATATATTGTAAATTATAAAAATAAATTTAATGCTAGATAAATAGTATAATTACTTTTGAAAAATGATAGTAGTATTTCATTTTGCAGGAGAGTATAATGAAAAAAATAAATACAATAGTTTTGAGGGGGCACCCGGAGAATATATTATTTACTTTATCCATTAAATAATATCTTAAAATATGTATCTAAATATAATATTATATTTAATAAAATTTATTATTTTTTTTGTTTTTTTAACAATTTATTTATTTTTTTATTTTGATCTGTTCCATAGAAAAATATTTATTTTATCTATTTAACATTACAAATATTTTTTTAATTTATAATATATTGAATAAATGTCATTTTTTTTATATATAATACAATACTAATAAAATTAGTTTAATTTTTTTTATTTCTGCTTCTTTTAATATTTCAATATAATATTAATATTTTTAAAATTTTGTGAAAAAACAAGCAGATAGATAGATATGAGACCGAAGAAATATTTTATATAAATATAATGTTTTATGAAAAATCTTTTTTTTTTTTTTTAAATTAACATGCTGATACTATAAATATTTATATATATATGTATATAATAAGTGTGTATAATTTAGTGGGGACTCTAATTGAGTAATGCCATCCATCCCATCTCACCCCATCCCCTTATCTAAAATATCATCCAACCAAACATAACCCAACATTTCCATCCTATTTAAATAAATTAATAAATAAAAGTACTCCATATTATTACTATTTGTCCTGAAATTAAAATAAATAATAGTTCGTATAATATAATTTGTTTTATCAGATTTAATTTATAAGATATTAAGTTTGATTCAGTGTTCACTTTTAAATAATAACTGCGAATTTTATGTCATAAAAAAAATAATAAATAAATATGTATAGTCCTGGAAATTAGGGTAATTGTGAATTTAGGGGACAGCGACGGGTCACCCTGCCCGCCCTGCCCTGCCCTGCCCTTTGTAAGTTAGTAAAGTCTGAAACTGTAAAGGGCAGGGGTTCATGTCACACGTGCACGTGTTAAGTCATGTTTCAGTTAGTAAATTCACACGCTTTACTTTTTTGGTCCCCAAATCCTCTCCTTTGTTTCCATTACCCATTTTCGATCACACACTACATTACTCAACACATATTTCTGTGTCGTCCTAATCCATTTTCACTTTTATTCTTTATTGTTATTTAAATTTATTTTTATTTTCTTTTTAAATAAAAAAATATCACTTTTTTTATTTTTTTTTAGTTACCAAAAAACAGTAAAAGTGTTTTTTTTATTTTTTTTTATTTTTAAAAAAACTCGTGTGAGCACATAATTGAATGACGGATGATTTTTCTACTTTTTTTTTACAAAAAAAATAGTAATTGTCAAATAATCACACAATTGGATGACATAGGGTTTTTCTACTTTTTCTTTTACAAAAAACAGTAAAAGTTTTTATTTTTATCTATTTTTTTTAAACTCGTATCTGGTCAAACAAGCACATAATTGGATAACAGAGAGTTTTTCTACTTTTTCTTTATCAAAAAACAATAAAAGTTTTTATTTTTATCTATTTTTCTTAAAACTCGTATCTTGTCAAATGAACACACGATTGGACGACAGAGGATTTTTCTATTTTTTTTTATCAAAAAATAGAATTTTCTATTTTTTGTGTTTTTTTTTTTTTAAAATAATTCTTGCTCGATCAAATGAGCACACAATTGGACGACGAAGATAATAATATTCTACTTTTTTTTTCTCTAATAAAAATAAATAATCAAACTTCATATTTCATTATTTAAATGAGTATTATTTGAAGGCGACATTCACTTCTTTAATTAAATAAATTTGTTTCTTCGTGTGAAGAATTACATTTATATTTATTTTTTTTGTTTATTGAACTTGTATTATGGAATATTAAATTTTAGGTTGTAGATAGGATTAAAAGTACATAGGATTTAGTCATATTTAGAGGGCTAGACATACGCAAATAACTTGAGGGTGTGTTTGTTTATGAGATTTTAATTTTTTATTTGCAGTATTTTGAATAATAAAATTTTAAATTAAAATCGTTGTTTGATTTTATATAAATATATAGTATTAAATATGTTTTTTTTAATATAAAATCATATTTTAGTATAATATAATAAATAATAAATAAATATCTAATTTAATTTTTTGAGAGAAAAAATTAAAAATACTAAAATAAAAAATAAAATCTTACAAACAAACACGCCTTTATATATATTTTTTTATTTTTTTGTCCTTTTTTTTTTCTTAATTAAAAGCCACACATAGTACTGGTTTGTTAAATGCTCACTCTGTCTAGAATAGATAAAAAGTGAAGAGAAATATTATGAGAAATTTATTAAAAATTTAATAGATAAACTGTCAGATAATTTGTAAAAAAATAGTGAAATTTTTATTATTATGTTTATTTGTAGATATATCAAATTTTAAAGAGACAATGTTTTTTAGTATAAGTAAATTATACGTAATTTTAAGAAAAAAAAAAAGAATGGACATAATTTTAGTAAATTGAAAGAATATATTTCTTTCTTTTTCAAAATTATAGTTTGGGTTGTATTTGACACGAGATTTAAGGAATATTGATATTATATTGACAGTGGGTAAAATGTAAAAGACTTTTTTGCCCTTATGATTGTATTAGTGTAAAAAATAGTGACAATGGTGTAATAATAATGAAAAAGTAAGGATAGTTTTATTGTGATATGATTATTTATAAAAATGAAACTATTGTTTTGAGACGGACAAAAATGATAAACAAGACTATTGTATTGGGACGGAGAGAGTAGTATATTCTTACTTAGTGATTTGTTTGTTTCGTGTTTAGTTGATTTAATTTTGAAAATTCTCAAATAAACAAATCTTGAAAGTGCTTGAAATGAACACGTAAGTTCCAATATGGTTTGGAAAATAACGACATGTTAATTGTAATTAAATGAAAAAGATAGGGCGTAGGGTGGGGTGGGGTGGGGTGGGGGTGCAATGGGGGTGGTGGGGTGGGTGGGGTAGTAAATAGTGGGATGGTCAAAGCTCAGAAAATCTGCACGAGTACAGAAGATTTAGTCAAAGGAGAATTTTACTTTTGATGCGAATATTTGATTGGTAGTATAATTTTTAAGTTATTTTTTTAATACATGTATTTTTATGCTTAAATTACTACTATATATTTTTTTTTATAAAATAATGTAAGTATATAAATAAAAATTATTAAAATATTTTAAATTAAATATAATATATTTCTTTTCATTTGATAACAAATGTACAAATGCAAATTTTTCATTTGATTTTTTTACATGTGTTAAAAGAAAATTAGTAGTAGATATGCCGAGTAATAAAATATTATGATGTCTATTTTGTCATTGATATTAAAATTAAAATAATTTAAAAAGTAAACAATAAGTTTATTTTAATATTTAGTTGATAATTTTTTTTTCGGACAAAATAGGAATATATAATAAATATAAATCGATTTAATTAATTTTATAAAATATAGTATCATGAATCATATAGAATTCATTACAAATTTTTCTTTTAAATATTTAAATATTTTTTAAAATTTTTTAAAATTATATATATTAATTTTTATATTAAAATTATTAATAATATTTTTTTATATATAAAAAAAAATAAATTATGTGGAATGGATGGAGTAATAAATCTTTTTTAAATAGCTACTCTCTCCGTTTCATATAAAAAGTAACATTTATTTTTTGCACTTAAATTTTTGAATATTAGTATATATTATATTATAAGAAAAAAAAATAAAAATATTTTTATTAAATATTGTGTAATATAAAAATAGTGATATTTATATAATATATTATAAATTAAAATAATATTTATTGATCTACAATATAATCATTAAATTAGAAAATAATATTTTTATTTTGGAACAACGAAGATGTAAAATGAATTCGATATTATAAAAATTATTGATATAAGGAGACCAACAACGTTAGATTAAAACAAGTGGCCTGAAGAGTGACACGTTAGCTGCAGGCCTATCTCTGTACTTGTCAGGACTTAGCTAATAGGGATAATTTCGTCATTTCATCTAAAATTTTTACGAAGATTCCAGTAATAGTGATACCGCAATTGTCGACGTGTCAATGCCGGGTAGATGTACACTAGTTATTTCCTAAAACAGTTTTTTTCTTTTTCTAGTATTTTTTGTATTATTGTAGACACGAGAATTTAGGTAAAGTATAATTAGTAAATAATTAAGAAATGTATTAGTAAAAATAATTATTATTTAGTAAAAATAATTATAGATTAAAATTAAGATAAATAAATAGTTTAATTAAAATTAAGAAAATTATAAAATTTAAAATGCGATTAAAGTGCATAATTATATTTTTAAAAATAGAAAGGACAAGTTATGTGGGACGGATGAAAATAGAAAATAGGGACAAATTATGTGGGACGGAGGGAGTAAAAAGAATTGGCTTCTTTCGTTTGTGATTTTTTATTCTACTATTTCATCCGTCCCATAAATATAGTCTTAATTAGATTGGGCACAGGATTTAAGGAATATTCATATTATATAGAAAGTGGATAAAAAATATGAATAAAAGATTTTTTTGCTCTTTTGAGTGTATTAGTGTAAAAAGAAGTAGCAATTGTGTGATAAAAATAAAAAAGTATGGGTAGTTTTATGGTGATATGGTTATTTATAGAAATTAGACTATTGTTTTGAGACAGACAAAAATGGTAAACAAGATTATTGTATTGAGACGGAAGGAGTATTATTTTTATGAGTTATATTAAAAAATTTATTATTTTTAACAAAAACATTATACTACCGAGAGCACTATTTGTTTTTTTATATAAAATTTTAAATATTAATATTATATTTATTTGTAGTAAAAAGACAAAAATGTATTTATTAATACGATTGTAATACTCTTTCCATTTCATTGAAAAGTTACCATTTTTATTTTCCTCCATCCCAAAATAAGGTTACCATTTTATAATTTAGTAATTGTACTACCTATTTAACATAATAAATATCTTTTTAATTTATAATATATTATATAAATGTCATTACTTTTATATTACATCGTACTAACAAGGGTATTTTTATCTTTTTTACTATAATCCAATATAATATTAATATTCAAAAATTTATGTGCAAAAAGCAAACGCCACGTTTCCAACGGGACGAAGAGAGTATAAAAGTATGATATTTGTATAATATATTATAAATTATAAAGATATTTATTATGTTAGGTTGTTATACCAATTATTAAATTAAAAAATAATACGCTTGTTTTGAAAAATAAAAAATAAAAATAGTAGTATTATTTTATGGAACAGAGAGAGTATTCTATTACGCAATAGACGAAGTATTTAAATAAATTGTTAGAGAAAATCATCAACCAAACAGAGTATTTGGAGTTTAGGGATTCGGTTGAAAAATTGTAAAATTTGATTTAAATTTTTCAAAAATATAATAAATGTGTTTCTTATAAATTAGTATTATTATTTTTTTAAAAAATATATTAAATTATTATTAAAATTAAAAAATATCCATTACTCTATTTAGACAAATATTTTTGGAGTTCTAATTTAAACTTTTTGAGAAATAAAAAGTTAAATATTTAATATATAATATTTTTATTTAAAAAAAATAGATAGTTGATGTAATTTTATTTTATTTTTTTTGAAAAAAATAAATATCAAATTTATTATTATTATTATTGTTGTTGTAAATATGTATGTTAAGGGAGTCTAATATAATGATTAAGGTTTAGTGATGTGGTGTAGAGAAAATATATCGATGAGATCGTTTTGTATCATGTGTAGTTATTTGAAAAAATGAAATAAATAAAAGTTGTGTGATTTTATTTTATTTTTTATTAAAAGGGATAATATTGGTGTAGAACTTGTAATATTTATACATTTGATATAATATTTTTTTTTTGACAGGAAGAGCATGAGAAAATAAGAGCACAAAAGGGTGAAGGAGAGCCTCTTCAATGGGAGGATTATAAATCAATGCATTTCACTCAATGTGTAAGATTATAAATCAAATAATTTTTAATTTCTTACAACAATTCTATGTGAGATTAATAAATTAATATATTTTATTATTCATTATTATTATTATTATTTTCTTGATTAGGTGGTAAGCGAAACATTAAGAGTGGCTAATATTATCGGGGGTGTTTTCCGACGAGCAATCACTGATGTTCCGATCAAAGGTTAGGTTCAAACTAAATACAATGCACGCTTTCGACAATTTTATTTTTCAAAATCTTCTATTCATATGATTTTATTCAAATAAAATCATACATTTACATATTTCTTGTCATTAGGCGGCTATACGATCCCCAAAGGATGCAAGATATTTGCTTCTCTTAGGGCTGTCCATTTGAACGACGACCACTTCAAAGATGCTCGAACTTTTAATCCATGGAGATGGCTACAGGTGCACCGAATTGTATATTTTTTTAAAATTTGAAACCAAGACCTTAGGACAACCATTAGGTTATTACTTCATCGGTGTTTGGAGATTTATAGGACACCTTGTCATGAAGCTTGCGTAGTAAATTTTAAGATAAAAATTTGATTTTTCTATTTTTGTGGGAAACTACAGAATGCTTCAGAATCGATCAATAGTTGTGTCAATACATTCACACCATTTAGTGGAGGCCCTAGGAGATGCCCGGGCGCGGATCTTGCCAAAGTAGCGCTCTCGGTTTTTCTTCATCGGATGGTAACCCAATTCAGGTATGGCTCGTAACTTATAGCTTTTTAAATATCAATAACAATACATTCTTTTACATTTTTTTATACCGATTGAAACAATGATACTTCTTTCGTCTCAATCGAAATGGGTCCGTTGGGATTTTGTAGTAGCTTAAAAAATAATAATTTTTCATTGGTCAGTAGAATTGTGTAAGAAGTTTTGACATTGTTTGTCATTTGATTTTATATATAAAGTAATTGTATATTTGCAATTTAAGTAAAAGTTAAAGGGTTTTTGGTATCAATGTATCAATGAAAGTATGTAAAAAGTTTTGACATTTTTATCCTTTGACTTTATGTATAAAATAATTGTATCCGTAATTATATTTTTTTTTTGTGGGACAAACGAAAATAGTAAAATAAATATTTTGAGTTGAGACTGAGAGAGTATATACATACATATATAAGCTATTTTATTTTTCATTAGAAGCCCAAAAGTTCATCTTTGATGTTGGATTTTTTTTTTTTTTTTGAATGTTTTAACTTTTTGTTCAATGTGATACGACATTTTGTATAGAGAATTGATTTTTTCTTATTAGCAAATACGAAATTGCATATTAGTAAAATATTTGAGAGAAACACATAAAATACTTTTGAATGTGATTTGTTACATTGGATCTCAATAAAATTGTTGACAACGGTCATTTAATTATTTTCGTTCGACATCAAAATACTAATTAACGCTATGTATTTTGTTATTTCGTAATTCAAATGCAGATGGACCCCGGCCGAGCAAGATAAGGTTGTTTTCTTCCCAACAACGAGAACTCAAAAGAGGTATCCGATCATCGTTGAGAGGATAAAATGATATACATATATATATATATATCAATGTAGGAGGCAAGATTCTAGTCAAAATATTACTTTGCTATGCCAATAAATTGAATAATATGATTACATGGCTAGTTTATAAGGTTTATAAATGTCATTAGCAATATAATGTTAATGTAGATTGGTGACATTTCATTTTGATGGTAGGATGACAGAGATTAATATTCATATACATTTATTTTGTTTCAGATAAATGTTCTTTTTCATTTTCACTGTTAGCTTTCACGTATATATGTAAATATGTACTAACTTTTAAGCATTTTAAAACCAATTTAAAAATCTAAAATGCTTTTAAAATATATTTAAACATATTTGTATAAAGTAAAAATATTTATTGAGTTTAATATTAAAAAAATGGTATTGAAAGCAATACAGATTGAAGAAAATTGAGACATAGTCTAAACTCTGATATCATGTCTGATACATAATGACCGATCTAAAAGCTCGAATTATTAGTGAAACATAACTATTAATTATTTAGCTGCAAACGAGAGTTTCTAATACATAATAGAGCGGTAACATTTGAATATGAAACCTTTTTATAGAAGCATGATTATATTTAATTTTGGAATATTGATTCTTACTCAATGAAAAGTGAAATGCAAATGACACATTTACATCTTTTGAATCGGGAATATTGGAAGATTTCAATTTTATTTTTTATTTTTTTTTGACTTAAGAGGACTAACCTAAAAAACAAGACATTTTGATCTATTTCTTTTAATATGCTTAATAAAAAATACTTTAATATCACCAAGAAATTTCATACCAAAAAGATCACTTAAACACTTTTTAATTTGATTAATTATTATCCTAAGATTTGAACTAATCAATTATATTTCATAAACATAAATTAGTATGAACACATGTATACTTAGTAATGTTTAAAGTATAAACAAGGATCATACTTATTTTTTTAAAAAATAATTTAAAAATTCCATACTATTGTTGAACTATATTTCATATTCCATGTGATTGTTTTAAACTATAAAAAAAAAATTAATAGATATATATATAATTAAACTTGTTTTTATTTGCGAAACAATTGAATTGTTTCATATAAATTTTTTCTACATTGTTGTTTTTTTTTTTTTTTTTTGAGTTTGAAGAAAATTGTTTAGATTTGATATTAAAATCATATTTGATAAAATATTTTGTAAGAATTTTTCTTTTTTTTTTTTTTTTTTTTTTTAGAAACTTGAAATTCAAATAGTAAAATTTAGAAAAATTTTCAAAAGAAACACAAAGTTCAAGTTAAATGTACAATTATTGAAAGCATCATAAGTATTCTAAAAAACTTTACAATATGCAATTATTGAAAGCATCATAAGTATTGTAAAAAACTTTACAATATGAAAAACACTTTCATTATGATCCATCACTTTCTCTTGGATTAAAACCTTTAGCTACTTATTAAATCTAGTATGTTCATCTTTACTTTTAACATTAAACACTCATTTACAACCAATTAAGGAACATTTTTCATGTTTGGAAACTATATCAAAGTTTGATTCTTAAGTAAAAATTTTATCTCATCATAAATAAATGAAACAGAGCCTTCATGTTTTTCTCTATTACTTAAAAATTCATTTTGAACATAATTAAGTTTTATTGATTAATTTCAATTTCAATAACACCATTAGTTGGCAAGTTTAATTTATTTGTAGTAGGAGTGTCAAAAATAAAACCCGACCCGAAAAACCAAATCTGTTTGACCTCAAAATTTTTTAAGTTTGGGTTTGCAAAATTTCAGGTCGACCCGAACCTAAAAAAAAAATTTATATCATGTTCGGATCGTATTTCGAGTTGACCTAAAACTCCGAAGTATAAAAATCACATCGGATTCAGGTTTCGTATTTTGGGTTTCGGATTGATCTGAATTATTTTTTATTTTAATTTATAATATATTAAAAATAAAATAATACATATAAATTCTAAATTACTAAAAAAAATAAAATACTATATACTAAATCAGGTTTTCAAGCATGTTTTATGTCGATTTGTTAAGGTTTCGGGTGACTTGAAACTAAATCAGGTTGATCTGAACCCGACTTCGAATTGACAATTTTTTGTTACATCTATGACTCAACTCGACGTAAATACCATCCGAAAACAGACTGAATACCCCTAATTTGTAGGCATAGAATTATTATAAGAAATTTTGATATAATCACAATAACAAAAACTATATCACACTCTTATCTTATTTGGATCTGACTCAAAAATTTTGTACATTTCCTCCAATGGGCCCCTAGCTACATGTGCAATTTATATATATGCAACAAAAGAATCTATATTGAATTTCATCATTTCAACATGACAACATAACACCCTAATAAACTTGTCTTGACTTGACATGCATCTAAGATGTTTTATGTTAGAAATTTGAGTGTCCAATTAGGGTGTGTTTGTTCGAATGATTTGGGGAGATTTGTACTATTCACGTTAATTTTATTTTTTTTTTCTAAAAAATATCAAATTAAATACTTATTATTTTATTTTTTATATTATTTTAAAAATTAATTTTACATTTAAAACATCACGTCAATACTTATTTATATCACATCATACAACTATTCAAATTCAAATATTTTACTATTCAAATCCAATCCAAAATACAAACTCCCAAACAAAAAATCGCAAAATATAGTCTATATGTTTGCAAAAATCGCAATTTTTGTCATTTTGCCGCATGTGGTGAGAATGTCACACGCACGGCCAAATGACAGGAATAACGAATTTTGCAAATATGTAAGATATATTCTTGTCATTTCATTGTAATTTCATTTTTTGTACCAAAACAACCATAATAGTTAATGTATTATTTGGGATCAGTATATCTCAACTTATTCTGTATATAGTATAAATATCTACTTAAGCAATGCTTCAATTACAACGAAATTTGAATCTCAAACTTTTATGCAATTTATATTCCAAAATGATATTTTAATAAGGATTTATGATCCTCTCATGCATTTTAGTAAAATACAAGTGAGTATTATATAATTTATTGTAATAACGGCGACAACGATAATAATAGTAATAGTAATAATAATAATAATAATATTCTTTTAGTTTTTTAAATAACTTTAACTGTTTGATTAGTTAAAAATTATTTTAAATATTTTATAAATTAATTTTTTGAAATAACCTATTTAATGTAAAAGGATGATTAGGTTTTTGAACACCTTTTGATTCTAATTTTATTTATTTTTAATTATCCTTATATATTAATATTTCATTCATATATATTAGTATCATTTTTTATTAGAATATATATTTTAATATATTTTCTTCTAGTGAATTATAAATATAAATATATAAAAATTTAAAATAATTATTTTTCATATAAATTATTTATTTTGTAAATTATTTATATTTATTTTAAAATAAAGATAAAATAAAACTAAAAATATATTAATATATAAATATTTTTATCATGTAATTGTTTTATACTCCCTCTGTCCCACGTACCATGTCATTTTCATTTTTTGGAAAATGATTAAACACTTTAATCTCATTTTAAACTTTTTAATTTATTTTTCTTAATTTTAATTAAACTAATTAGTTACTTTAATCTTAATTTATAATTATGTATATTATAGGATAATTATTTTCATTAATACATTCTTAATTATCAACTAATTACACCCTTCCTAAAATGCCGTGTCTACAGTGTAGCAGATATGGGACGGAGGGAGTATTAAAAATGAATTTTTTAGAAAATTTTTACTTAAAATTCTATGTTTAGCAAAGATGCTTAACATATTTCTCCCAAATATTAATATATTAAACAACTCATTATTTTATACTCTCTCCCCGTCCACTTACAAAGTTTACATTTACTTTTGGCGCGGTGTTTAAGAAATAATAGTATTTTAATTATAGTGAGTAGTTAAAAGTAATGTAATGACATTTTTGCCCTTACTTTTTTTGTGTAAAAGTAATGATGTGATGTAAAGTAAGGGTATTTGTGGAAAAAAGTAGGGTATTAAATGAAATGTTAACTTTGTAATTGAACGTCCCAAAATAGAAATATGTAAATATTGTAAGTAGACGGAGGGAATATTATATATATTATTCTTTATATCTCACATAAAAAAAAAAAAAAAATTCATTTTCAAATTAAAACACAAAATATAAAATATATGAATTGTATTACAAAATATCTAAAACATAACAAAAACATATTTTTCAATAACTACTAATAAAAAATCTGAAAAATGATACACATGTACATAAAGAACAAAACTAAATACTTTAACATTAAAATATAAATTATTTTTAATTGTTATTTTACGTAGAAATAACTAATATTAAATATTTATTTTACCAAATACTTTAACATAAGTAGCTAATTATTTCAAACTAATTAATCAAATAAACTAAACAAATAAGCTAACAGTTAACTGTTAAGTATCATAAAAGAACTATAATATTTGCCAAAACTTTCTGTATGTCATTACTGTCACATTTGATTAAATTTATGTATATCATTTTACAAAATTCAATATTTCACATACAACAATCGATATATTTGTTTTGTATTTTGGTTTGAATTATAATTTTGTATGTGTATACAGAATTACGTAAGTAATATGAAAATAATAAGTGTGTGTAATATATTACTCTTTTCGTCCCACCTATTTTGTTCCATTTAGCCTATGCACAAAGTTTTAGGTATTGTGTAATTAGTAAGTAATTAATATGTGTATTAATGAAAATAATTACGATTTAATAAAAATAATTATAGATAAAGATTAAGATAACTATGAATTTTAAATATGATTAAAGTGTATAATTATATTTCTAAAAAAAATCTAAAAAAAATGATAAATTATGTGAGACGGACGAAAATAAAAAGAAAATGAACAAATTAAGTGGGGAAGGAGTATTTGTTTAAAACTAAAAAAAATTCACAAAAGAAACAAACTCTATGTTTACTTTTTTGTCAAACCCTCAATTAAGACATCAATCACCATAAGATATCATGGTATCTAGGGTGAGCATTCGGATTTTTAGTTCGGATCCGAAAATTCGAAATTTTTGAAAAAATCAATCCGAATCGAACCGAACCGAAATAACCGAAATTCCAAAATTCGTAATCTGAACTAAACCGAAAAATCCGAAATTCTAAATATTTTTATTATTTTTTTTTAAAATTTCTTTTATATTTTATTATTATTTTATAATACTAAATATATAA